GGTTGGCGTCCGGACACATGTTTTGGCGTCTGGACGCGGATGGAGTCAAGTACTGGCATCTGGAGGCTGGAAGTGGCGTCCGGACGCGGGAGCTTCCAGGGGTTGGTATCCAGACGCTGGAAGTGGTGTCCGGACGCAATTGTGCCCAGGATTTATAATTGATATGAGCTCAAAAACTCCCGAAAATGTTACCAAAACCTTTATATGACTATAGAAACCCATAATAACCACTGGAATGGAAATCTAGATGATTCTTGAAGAATGCAAAATGGAGTTTCTACTTTTTCAGAGATTTTTGGTTTTTAGTAACAAGGAAATAGAAAAGCTTGGAATAGAAAGAATTTGCTTCCTTAAAATGTTAAATTTAACGTCGATAGCTAGACGATATGGGAATCTAACTAGTCCTCATAAATTGGATTCGTCAATATGATGGAATTCACATATCTGACCAGGACTAGGTTGTCAATGTAAGGCTTTAGCCGCTGACCATTGACCTTAAAAAGATTCCCATTCTTTGGATTTTACAACTCAACTGCACCATGGGGGAAGACAGAAATGATAAGGAAAAGACCTTCCCACCGTGAACGAAGTTTCCCAAGAAAGAGTTGCAACCGGGAATTGAAAAGCCAAACTTTTTGACCCGAAGCAAAAGAATTCCGGATGATATGCATGTCATGGAATGCTTTAGTATTTGCTTTGTAAATTTTGGCACTTTCATAAGCCTCATTCCAGATTTCCTCTAGTTCATTGAACTGTAATTTTTGGTTAGAGCTAGCCTAATTAAGATTGAAATTGAACCTTTTTATGGCCCAAAAGGCACGAGGCTATAATTCAACCGGAAGGTGACATGCCTATTGGCGTCTTAAACATAGTTCGGTAAGCCCAAAACGCATCGTTCAATTATAATGACCAATCTTTGTGGTCCGGTCCAACCGTCTTTTCAAGGATATTCTTGATTTTTCACTTGACCACTCGATTGAGGATAATAAGGTGTGACAAATTTGTGAGTGACAGAGTACTTAACGAGGATGGATCGAAGATAATGATTACAGAAATGAGATACTCCATCACTTAAGAGTGCTCTAGGTGTACCAAACTGACTGAATATGTTCGTTTGAATGAATTGGACCACTGCAGTGTGGTCATTGGTTATGGTTACCTCAGCTTATATCCATTTAGATACATAATCCACCGCTAGGAAAATATAAACATAGCCATAAGAAGATGGGAATGGTCCCATAAAATCTATTCACCATGCATCAAAGATTTCGACAATTAAAATTGAGTTTAATGGCATCATGTCCCTTTTAGACATGGCCCCAAGCTTTTGGCATCGCTCATAAGACTTACAAAAATTGTAAGCATCCCTGAATAATGAAGGCCATAAAATCCACTTTGAAAGACTTTAGATGAAGTCTTTTTGGCACTGTAGTGTCCTCCACATTCAAGAGTGTGACAGAATTTTAAAATATTTTGGACATCAGATTCAGGAATGCATTTCCAGATTATTTAATCTAGACAATACTTGAACAGTTCCAGGTTTTCCCAAAAGAAATTTTTGATTTAAGTGAAGAATCGGTCTTTCTCTTGCTTAGACCATTGAGATGGAATTTTTCCAACCGCATGATAGTTGACAATGTCAGCAAACCAAGGAGGCAACACATGAGAAATCTGGAACAGTTGCTCATCCGAAAAGGAATCATAAACTGAAGAAAAATCAGAAGTGTTCTTAATAAGAAGTTGAGAGAGATAGTCTGCGACAACATTGTCAGTGCCTTTCTTATCCTTAATCTCAATGTTAAATTCTTGGAGTAAGAGTATCCAACGAATGAGTTGAGGTTTGGTCTCTTTCTTTGCAAGTAGATGCCTTAACGCAGCATGATCCGTGAAGACAATGACCTTGGATCCAAGAAGATATGAATGAAATTTATCTAAGGCATAGACAATTGCTAGCCACTCTTTCTCGGTTGTTGTATAATTCAATTGAGCATCTGAGAGGGTCTTGCTAGCGTAGTAAATGGTATGAGGATTTTTATCCACATGCTGGCCCAAAACAGCACCTAATGCATAATCAGATGTATCGCATATGATCTCAAGGGGAAGAGACCAACTAGGTGGTTTCATGATTGGGGCAGAAGAGAGTAGTGAACGGAGCTTCTTAAAAGCTTCCAAACATACTTCATCAAAGTTGAAATTAATATCATTGGCAAGAAGATGGCATAAAGGTTGAGATATCTTGCTAAAGTCTTTGATGAAGCGGCGATAAAAGCCAGCATGGCCAAGAAAAGATCGAATTTGTCTCACCGAAAAGGGAGGAGGAAGGCTGTGAATTAATTCAACTTTTGCCTTATAAACCTTAATCCCTCTTTTAGAGATAATGTGTTCCAAGACAATCCCTTCTTATCCCATGAAGTGACTCTTTTCCCAACTTAAGATCAGATTTGTATCATTACATTTCTGAAGCACAAGAGACAGATTATGGAGACAAGAGTCAAAAAAAGATCCAAAGACAAAAAAATCATCCACGAATTCTTCAAGAAATTTGTTAGTCCTAAGGTTCTCTAAGTCCTATTTGCCTGCTTAATGTCAAAAAGCTTTGGTTTAGAGTGCTTAAGTGCATATCCTATCTGTATTGTGGTTTCACATATATCACTTGGGTAGCATTGTCATTTATATTGCAGTGACAGTCTTTTTACATTGGCATGATTTAATTCATCACAGCTTGTACACTTGATTCAGCTAAATTGAATGGCATCAGTCAGGATCAGTATATAAGGAACTTGTCACAGGTGCTTTCAGGGGTATTTTAGTACTTTGTCTGATGTATTCTATGGATACTCATATGACTGGATAGCTGCATTGCAGTGAATTGCTGTGGTGAGCATACAGTGTGTCTAATACAGCCTCGGCAACAGGATTATGCTGAATGTAATTTACAGCTGGTATAAGGCTTGTTTGTACAACTTTTCAAGTATTTTCAGGAGTGTGACACGTGGCTGTGGTCCAGGTATATATATTGTCCTCCAATGGTATTGCAGATCTTAGTGGCTAAGTAAAGATAAATATCAATGTGTCCTCACCTGTATGAACTGTTCTTACTGATGCATGAGGTGTCACTATTTGGTGAGATATCAAGGGCAACATTATCTTTTCATTAAGGGAATGTTAGAATTGTTCTTATGCAATCATTGGCTGAAAGGTGACAACATTAAATTAAGAGAGCTGCAGTCAAGCATTTACACTGGGCTATATATATGCTGTTATAGATGTCTTTTAGGGTTAATGGCCTTTCATAGAGACTAAGAACAAGCTGTAGAAGAGAAATCTCGAGCTCCTATTGTTGAACAAAGTTTTTCAAGTGATTTGTAATAATGATTTATGCTAGAAAAACCCACTGACTCAAGCCTTGTGTGTGATCAATGTGCTGAGATGCTGCTGCTGTCCAAATTATTGTAGAAAGGGCTAGATTGAGTAGTGAATCTGAGTTCTAAGCTGTTGTGGTCATTTATGAGGGTTGTCATGGGTATAACTATGCTGTTTACCCTTGCTCAGTAGTTTGCTTTGAACTGAAACATGCTGAAATGGATTTTGAGCTCTTAGATCAGTAGATAAGCCTATTTTTCTGTATATATTGTGATTCAAGTGCAAAATGATTAAGACTAGCTATTCTATGGATTATCTATGTGCTAGTAAGTCTATTTTGATGAATCAAAGCTGTTGAAATTGGCTGTGGTGCAAAACATTGACAGATTGTGATTGTGACCTTGCAAAACCTCTTAAACTGTGTTGAGTTGTGCTTATTCAAGAACTATGATTGCACATTGATATATACTCATGCTATACTGAATTGCTTAAGGATGTTAACATGAGTACTACAGTGAATTAAGACTGTGGAAGCTACTGGTGAACTAATCTTGATGGAAAATTCCAATTTTACCCCTCAAACTCTAGCTGTAGCAGTTTAGTGATTTTGAGGCAATAACTTGGTATTTTGTATTGTTCAAGCTATTTTGATTATAGAAGGAATTTGACCATCTTGTTTATCAATTGTAATGATGTATATGGAGAGCTATATGAGCTTTGTTGGTCCAAGCAAGGGTGTTTAGGACAGGGGGAGTGTGTGTGTGCACTGAAATCAGCTAGTGTGTGTATTAGTTGTGAAAACTAGTGTCCATTCTTGTGCTTGGGTGTGTGCAGAGACTGAGACAGCTGAGTGTGTAACAAGTTACATATAGCTGGTAGTGATCTTCATTGGCTATGGCCAAGAACCAAGGTTTTCCCTAGTTGAAAGGGTTTCCTTGTAAATCATGTTTTAAGTACTTATTGCTTGCTTGCTAAATTATCTTATTGATTCTGTTGGGAAGAGATTAACCAATTCACCCCCCCTCTTGGTTCATTAATTGGTATCAAAGCTTGGGTCTGCATTAAAAGGTTCTAACAAGCCTGCAGTTGGTCCTAGCTATGGATGAAGGTTAAGTTATTAACAAAGCTCCTGGTTTTGAAGGCTCAAACTATGATTCTTGGAATACTAGAATGGAACCCTTTTTTATGTCTCAGTCCTATGATGTTTGGCATGCTACCATATATGGTGTTGTGATTCTCAATCCTGAAAATCCATCTGCTAAAGACAAGATAGTTGTAGCTAATGATAGGTAGGCCAAACATGTTCTTTTCTGTGCCTTAAAGCAGCAAGAATTTACCAGAGTGAAGAATTATAAGACAGCCAAGGAAATGTAGGATTCACTTCAGGCAGCTCATGAGGGAAACAAGGTTATAAAGGAAAACAAAATTCAGCTTTTCAAGATTCAATATGAATTTTATAAAATGGAAGAAAGAGAAATCATTGTAGAATATATGTTCAAAATCAATGATCTTGTAAGCAATAAGAGAGCTATTGGTGAAAACATTAAAGATTCTGATGTGTGTAAGAAAATTTTAGATCTCTCATTTCTAGATCCAATGCTAAGGTCACTATTCTAGAAGACAAAGATCTGTCCAACATGAAGATTGATGAACTTCAAGCATCTCTCACAGCTTATGAGATGAGAGTTGGTCATCCTACTTTGCATAGAAGAGAAACAGAACTCAAAGCCAAGGAGAATGTTAAAGAAGATGAGTCTAAGTCAGAAGATGATCTTGAAGAGGATGAAGTGGCGTACCTTGCTAAGAAATTAAGAAAATTCAAGTTTAAAAGGAAATCTCAGTTGCAAAATCTAACATGCTATGGGTGTGGCAAGCCTGGTCATATTGTATCTAAGTGTCCTAACTCTAAAGGGCAAACTCAGAGAAAGTTTGAAGGACTTAACAACAAAGGAAGGTTTGGAAGAAAAGCCTTATTTTCAGACTGGGAAACAGCCATTGAAGAAGAAGAGAAACCTAAAGAAGCTCAAGAAGATGAATGTTTATTCATGGCCATTCTAGAACCATCAAAAGATTCTGTTGAAACTGAAGAAGATACTGACACAGAGATTAAGGAAATTCTGGAAGAATGTGAAATACTTGTTATGAAGTGCAATTAACAAAAATCTCAAATCAGAAAGCTAAATTCAGAACTATTAAAGTCTAGACAAATTCTTACCAAACACTTAAAACTCAAATTGTCAACTATGTGTTCAATTTCCCTTATTTTCCTAAGCATACTCAAGGTTCAGAGTAACTCTCAGTGGTCTACTAAAAGATGCAAGGAAGAACTGTCTACCATACTTGAGGAGAGATCTCTGAAAATGGCTGAAATTTAGAAACAATCCACTAAGCAAATTAGGAAGACTGGAATTGGATATGTATGTGATTCAGCTGCTAAGATTAATCAAAAACACTCAACATTTGTGAAGGCCACCACTGGAGAAGTATATGCAAGATATCCCATTGTAAAACCTTTGAGATCAAGGTTTAATATTTTTGATAACATCCAATATCCTTTGAGTTTCAATCAGAGAGACTTTGTTACATCAGTTGCAAGGAACTTCAAGATCACTAAGATGTATATGAAGAAGTCAGACCTAACTCAAGGAGTGAAAGTTAAAAATAAAGGGTCAGTGGTGAAATCTAAGATGATGTGGATCCCCAAGAAGCTGAACTCTATAAGTCTTCTTATGTATACAGCTTTTAAAGCCTGTAATACTCAGGATAAATGGTATGTTGACAGTGGCTGTTCGAGACACATGATAGGTGATGGTTCCAAATTTAACTCCTTACAGCAGTTTGATGGTGGAAATGTTATATTTGGAAACAATCAAAGAGCTAAGATTGTTGGAATTGGCACTATGAGTAACTCTAAAGAATTACTAGAGATTCAAGAAGTTCTATTGGTTGAAGGGCTTAAACATAATCTCCTAAGTGTAAGTCAATTGTGTGATAGTGGGAAAGAAGTCTGTTTTAACAAAGAAAGATGCAATGTGATTGATCTGGAATAAAAAAAAAATTCTGTTCTTAGCTAGTAGATCTTCAGGAAATGTCTACACAGTCACTGAAGAAAGTCAGGTCACCCAATGTAATTTAACAACCTGTGATGAAGCTAAGTTGTGGCACAAGAGGTTAGGTCATCTTCATTCAAGGAAAATGTCCAAGATATTGAAGCTAAAAGCTGTTAAAGGTCTACCTGACATTTGTTTTAAGGATGATCATCTTTGTAAAGCATGTCAACAAGGAAAACAAACTAAAGTTTCATTCCATTCCAAGGAAATCAACTCCTCTAAGGCACTTGACCTGATACATATGGATCTTTGTGGACCTACCAGAACCACAAGTATTAGTGGTAGTAAGTATTTTATGCTACTCCTAAAAGAAAAGTCAGAGGCTATTACACACTTTATTAAGTTTGTCAATCTTGTTGAAAATGAGAGGAGCTGCACTATGAAGAAACTCAGGTCCGATTTTGGTTCTGAGTTCACCATAAAAGAATTTGAGCACTACTGTGATGACAAGGGAATCAAAAAGGAATTCTCGGCTGTTGCTACACCTCAACAGAATGGAGTTGTGGAGAGAAAGAACATAACAGTTCAAGATATGGGAAGAATAATGTTGCTTGAAAAAGGTTTGGCAAAAGGATTTTGGGCTGGAGCTGTAAGTACTGCTGTGTACATCATCAATAGGGTTCTTCTTAGACCAAATTCAACTAAGACACCCTTTGAATTATGGTATAGAAGACCTGCAACAGTTCATTATTTCAAAATATTTAGCAACAAGTGTTATATACTTAATTACATTGACAATTTGGGGAAGTTTGATTCAAAATCTGATGAAGGTATATTTCTGGGGTATTCTACAAAAAGCAAGGCTTATAGATGCTACAACCTTAGGTCTTCGAAGGTGGTTGAGTCAATCCATGTTAAATTTGATGAAAATCCTCAAGTGATTCTGACTGAAGACAGCAATAATACAATTGGTTCAAATGAAGTCAGCTATTCAGTGATTGAACCTGAGAATTCAAAAGAAACTACTTACCCAGTGCTACAGACGCAGGTTCAAGCTGAAAACATTATTGGTTCATCTCCAGCTGGAGTTCAAACAAGGAATAGGAAGAAGTTAACTGAGTTAGAAGCTGAAGATAACAAAGAATACAGCCACTTTGTAATGTTGTCATCTATTGAACCTAAATCTTACTTTGAAGCTAAGAAGATTGAGGATTGGGTTGTAGCCATGCAAGAAGAACTGGATCAAATTAACAAAAATGATACTTGGATACTGGTACCTAGACCTACAAACAAAAATGTTATTGGCTCTAAATGGATTTACAGAAATAAGATGAATGAAAAAGGATCTGTGATCAGGAATAAAACAAGGTTGGTGTGTAAAGGCTATACACAACAAGCTGGAATTGACTATGATGAAACTTTTGCTCTTGTGGCTAGAATGGAGTCCATAAGAATGTTGTTGTCCTTTGCATGTCACAAACAAGTCAAGGTGTACCAAATGGATGTCAAATCTGCTTTTCTAAATGGAGACCTAAGTGAGGAAGTTTATCTAGAGCAGCCTGAAGGTTTTAAAGATTCTGAATATCCCTCTCATGTATTCAAACTAAGCAAAGCCTTGTATGGTCTTAAGCAAGCTCCCAGGGCCTGGTATGAAAAATTACATCAGTTCTTAATTGAACAAGGCTTTCATAGAGGCAAAGTTGACAACACTCTGTATGTCAGGATTCATCAAGATCAGTTTCTAATTCTTCAAATCTATGTAGATGACATCATGTTTTGTGGTTCCAACACTTCATTAACATCAGAGTTTGCCAATCTTATGAAAACAAGATTTGAAATGTCACTTTTGAGCACTCTCAAGTATTTCTTAGGACTTTAATTTTGCTCAAACATCCAAAGGAATTTTTATTGCACAACAGAAATATGCTTCAGAATTACTCAAGAAGTTCAACATGAATGATAGCAAGCCTGTTTCAACACCATTGTGTCCAAATACTAAACTGTCATTTGATTATACCTCAGAAGTAGTTCCATCCACACTTTATAGATCTATCATTGGCCTCTAGACCTGATATCATGTACTCAGTAGGATTGGTAGCTAGATTTCAAAGTAATCCCAACATGTTTCATCTCTAGGCTGCCAAACGTATTCTCAGATATGTTAAGGGCACAATCTCTTATGGTCTACATTACATTTTTTCTCCAACAATGACTATAGCTGCATTTTCAGATGCTGATTGGGGTGGCTCTTTACCTGACAGAAAGAGAACTTCTGGCTGTTGTTACATTCTTGGCTCTAATGTAGTCTCTTGGCTTAGCAAAAAATAAGACACAGTCTCTCTCTCTACTTCAGAAGCTAAGTATATTGCTGCCTCTCAAGCTGGTTCTCAATTACTTTGGATGCAGTCTACTCTGACAAATCTTGGCCTTCAATTCTCCATGCCTCCCAAGCTCCTTTGTGACAATCAAAGTGATATTGCCATCAGTAAAAATCCCACATTGCATTAGAAGAGCAACCATATAGATATCAGGTATCATTTTCTCAGAGACAAGGTTCAAAAAGGGTTTATTGATATTACTTCTCTACCAATAGAAGATCAACTTGCAAACATCATGACTAAACCTCTTCTTCCGCACAGATTTTTAACCCTTCAAGATCTTCTAAGGGTTGTTCCTCTACCTCTTTAACCTTACTATTGTTGGTCCTACTCCCTTTTGACCTTCAATGTCAAAAAGGGGGAGAAAATGACTAAAATAAGGATAGTGTCACATGCTATTCTTATCACTATTTGATGAGCGCTGAAAAGTGCGCATTTAAACCCCTTAAGCTTGAGTGTTCTAGGACCTTTATCTATCTTATTTTTTTATTTTAGTACTTATTTATGTTTTTGTCTATTTCAGGTCAATAATGTTAAAATGGGCTAAAAATGGTTTCTTAAGGCCTTTTTGGAGTCAAACTAAGTCTTAGTGATGATCCGGAGCAAAAAGAGGCTGATTTGGAGCAAAAAGAGGCTGATGCTGAAAATCTGCAAAGTTAGATTGATCGAAAATCAAAGTTTGATCGATTGAACTTTTTCTTTGATCGATCGAACTTTTGCTGGCAACGAGCTGTCTTATTCCTGTGCGCACCCAAAAGTCCACCTACCACATAGTACAGGATTAAATATTTTTGAAGCTATATTCCTGACTTAGTGAATAAGAAAAGGACCTTCTATATAAAGGGAAGTGACCCATTTTGTAAAGAAGCTTTTATCATTTTTATTTTTTACATTGTATTTTTTATTTCTCTCTAGCAAAGTTAGAGATTAGGGTTAGAAGAAAAGGGGGAAGTGGAGGCACATCTCAAAATCCATCTCTAGACCCACTCTCTCTTCATCTCTAGAGCTTCAAAGAAGAAGAAGAAGAAGATGGAGCCATATTTGGAGCTTGATTTCATACCACATCTACCTCCTCCATGATTAGCTAGATCTACACTTAGGGCTTGGATGAGCCCTAAGTCTTGTGTAATCTAAACCTTGTATTTCTATTTTTGGGGATTTATATATATTGTTGCGATTAGTGTTCTAGCCTTGTGAATTTAATGAATCTTGATATATTTCTATGATTTCTGTAGTTTAATTCTTCCTATTAATTCTCTAGTTTATTTACATGTCTATGTGTGATTAAATTAGGAATTATTTCTTACATGATTCATATGGATTAATTCTTTCTATTAATTCTCTATGTGATTACATGTTGTCTTATGTGTGATTATTTGGGAATTGATCTCTACACTAGTTTTTCTAAATTAATTGCATGTCTATGTGTGGTTAATTGAGAATCTAGTGATGGCTAGACATGGTTTTCATTGAATGGGTTTGTCAATTAATTTGATGGTTTATACTTATGCTTGATGGGTTGTTCTATAATTTAATTCATGCTTGTAGGTAGGCAGACAATCTATGCTTGCTTAGATATTCCATGGCTTATTATTGCAAATTCCATGATTCTCTAGATTGATGTGTGCTACAATTGTTGCTACCTAGATGGGTCATGCTTAAAATTGATGGGTTGTGCTACACTTAGTTTAGGTAGACAATTCATATACAAATTAGATGGTCCATGCTTAATATTGCAATTGGTAGTCGCATTTTGTTCACAACAATGTATTCCCTATTAATGGGAAGCAAGTGGTTAACAACATGAGCTTAGTGGTGATTCCAACACCCTAAGATCTCTCTTCATATCTCTTAAATCCCTATCTCTAATTAGTTTTATTTCACTTTCATTTTAATTAATTGCTTTTTAGAGTAATCAACCAATCTCTATCTTTTACAATCTTGTGATACGTTAGAGTTGAAGTTAAATTCTAACACGTATAATCCCTTGGGACGATCCCTACTCACTCTTGCTACGTTAGTAGTAGTGTTGGTAGTGGTTTTTATAAATTTAAATTTGACCTAAAAGGCTTTTCTTGAACCACACATTCACTACATTATTTTAGCATATACAAGCGGCCTCATCACTATTCTTATCATTTGATGGGTGTTGGGTTGTTCTCTTTCCATTAGCTGTATCACTATACTTGAGGCCTTATTTCATATCAAAGCTTTTGTCATTAAATGCAAAAGGGGGAGATTGTTGGTCCTAAGATTCTCTAAGTCCTATTTGCCTGTTTAATGTCAAAAAAAACTTTGGTTTAGAATGCTTAAGTGCATATCCTATCTATATTGTGGTTTAACATATATCACTTTGATAAGCGCCGAATATTGCATATTCAAGCGCCCTAAATTGCATTAGTTAAGTCCATTATTTGATTTTATTATGTAGATTATCTTCATTTGTGCATTTTTGTTTATTTTCAGGTTCATTGGCTTAAAAGAAGCAAGAATGATGTTTTGTTGAAATTTTGAATGCAAAGGCACAATGCTGAAGCTTGGCAGCAGTGGAACCTGACTTTTGTCGCCATTTTTGACCTAGAAAACTCAAGAACTGGACTTCCATCATAACATGAAAGATTT